CATATATGTTGCTGAATTGAGTAAAACATTATCATTATGAAAATGTTGAGGCATTTGTTGAAGAAGTTTTCTTCCAATTTCTTTAGCACGATCATTCCCAAGCTGTGCACAAGCACTAAATAGAGTATTGAAAACAACTTGATCAGGTTGGATATTCATTTGATCAAATAAATCGAGCACTTTTTCTGGCATTTTTTTTGAAACAAGATCTGAAAATAAGCTTACATTTTTAACACTAAAATAAGAAATATACTACTTTATTTACCTTTAAACATCGTTGCATGCATATAATTTGATTTTTTATTATTTATTGTCGAGAATAAACGATTAGCATTACTTAGGACCATGATGTTGTTCCAGGAAGAAAACTAAAATGACAGAATAAAATTGTTTTCGTCCAACATATACTTCATTAAACTAACCTACGATACAAAAGTAATTGCCAAACTGTCGAGACATGGTTCTCCGCTTAGGTACATCGTAGTGAGTCAATTTTTTTTATTAAGAAGAACGTTGTCTGAACTACAAATTTTTTACCAGTCATATTTTTCCAGAATGAATTTAAGAAGGAAGAAAAGCCCAAAACCAAATACCTCTAAAAAAGCTCTTGCAACTTTGCCAGTGAGCAACATCATTTTTTTTATTTCTGTTAATTTTTTTAATTCTAGGAGGGAATCAAAAAATACTTTCAATGATGATTTTTGTAGCTTAAAATACACTCTTTCTAATTATGTATTGGAAGTTAACTTTGATCGTAGTTTTAATACAAATACACTGCTTTTTCTAAGAGTGACTGAACAATTTGGTTATTCTCACTACATGACCGCTTCGTTGCAGTAAAAAAGTATTCATTGAACTATTTTTTTCTGTTAAATTTCTATGATCTGACATATTTCGAATGAATAATGCAAAATGAGTCGAATTCATGTATGATTTCTGAAGATGGTGGCTAATATTCTTTCAGATTGATAGTTCTTTGGAAAAAAAAGTCTTTTTAAAAAGATTTCATTATTTAAATCTTGTTAATTAAAGGTCAAGAATGAACCTAAAAGCTTTAAACAATGCTGATACTAATCGAGTTTTTGATGCGCTACATTTTGATGTTTTTCTTGTAAAAGTTTAGCGCAGGTAGCCTAAAATAATTGAGAAAAACAAATTTTTCAAGTCGCAAAAAAGATGCAAGAATCTTTTTAGGGGCGTTTGATTTTTGATTTTTCTTCCTTCTCGAACTCGTTCTAAAAAATATGGCTGGTACAAAATTTGTAGTTCAGACAATGCTCTGCTTAATAAAAAAAAAAAATTTGACTCTCCACAATGTACCTAAGCGGAGAACCATGTCTCGACATTTCGGCAATTACTTTTGCATCATAGGTTATGTTCAGTATAAACAGTATTACATAGTGTTGAATATTCAATTTAGAACATCTATAAAAATCCTAAAGCAATTGATTTTGACATGGAATGTCCTATTAAATAGGCTATTGAACTAACATTAAAACTATATTCTAGATGTTCTGTATCGTGTAATTTTTATGTTGTAAAAAAATCTTAAATATATTACCATTTGACTGACAAGTTTCGAAAATACCCTAAACAAATGGTATATAATGGTAACATTTTATAAATTTTTGAACTAAACTAAAGTACTATGCGCGTGTTTTTTGATTACTTTCTGAAGTGCATCTTGTGCAATCTTTTTCGCTCTATTGAATCCTTAAGAAACTATTGTCGGCCCGAATGTTTTTCGATATTTTTTGTCATATTTAAGAGAATGAATCTTCATATAGATATGCGTTAAAATTATTTAAGGCAAATCTAAATACATAGTTTTGTAGAGCAAACCTTGCTCTATCTTTTGAGATATAATTCGATTTGATTTGATTAACTTTTAGAAAAAATACTAATCCCATACTGAGAATAGAAATAATCAAAACAACCATAATCATTTATTTTAGGACTTTATAGAGGCACGTTCAATGTTACTTTCATATCTATTCAAGAATCATTCCTAGAACGCTAAAAATTTGGATTTATATGTTTTTTTATATGCTCTTTCATTTGCAATAATCAAAAACATAGGCCAAAATTTTTTGTATGACACGAATTCTCGATCGAGCCATGGATCCTCTCTTAAGGCCTCTCGAAAAAGTCACTTTTTGTCAGAATAACCGAAATTAAGATAAACGTAGGGAAAGATAGTCCGTCATCTGATTTCTCATAAGCGACAAAAATTTTTACTCGGCACCTCGGTTTTTTTTCCAAAAATTTTTGAAGATTTTCTTCATCTTCTATTCGAAAAATAAGCTGTTTTTGAAAAAACCCGAAAATCTCTTTCGTTTTTTCTCGTTTTATAGTTTTCGATCGCATCTCCAAGAATTCTCGAAGGAACTTCATTGTAGCTAGTAGGATTTTCTTTTGTTTGAAAGAGCGTGTCAAAGTGTAGTACCTATAAGAGTCCACCTCCACACTACAGCCCCAACATATCCTGAAATCCATTTTTGACGGGGGTGGCCTTAAAAAAAGACGCTTGTTTTGTTACTACAAAAAAGTTATGAAAGTTGCCAAAAATCACTAAAGCAATACTTTTTGAAATAAAGAAATACCTACGTTAGAGAGTGTCTAGTGTATGTAAAAAAAAAAGTTTCAAATCTATAGCCATTTACCATTTCAGAGAAACGGAAACGAAACAGTACACTTATTTTTTGTATAAAAATTGGTTTTAAGCTCGCCCCCCTCCCTCCAAAAATCGATTTTTTAAAAAAAGTTCAATTTTCGAGATAAACATATGGGTGTTACCTCTAAGGTGTCTAGTTTTAAAATTCATGAAAGTCACTTCCAATTTCGAAAGGTTTCTTAAGAATAATCGATGAACTTTTAAAGCTCTCTAGCAAAAAATATGATACCTAAGACTATAAAGAACTTATAGGCCCACTCGTTTTTATCGTCCATAATGACAAGCAATGACACCACGCACTGTTGTACGTCTACTCGATGAGACGGCTGATGGGCTTTTAATTGATATACAATATAACTATGTTTCTCTCTAATGTATGAAAATGATTCAACAAAGTATTCAAAGAAAAAAATATTCGAGCGTTTTTCTCAAAACTGAGAAACTCCGCACAAATTTTGTTTCACTGTAGTTCGTTCTACCGAACTCCAGTTTATTTTATTCGATAGATTGATGAATCCACTTTCGAATGGGCGAAATGGAATTTGTATTTGGTCCTTAACATTGAAAAAACCAAAGATTTTGTAGAAAACCTTCGCTAGGGATTTTTGAACTTGAAGATTTCGAGAGTCGCAAAAATGAAATAAAATAAAAATTAAAAAAGATTCTTTCCCTCATCCGAAGCAGCAAGGAGTTCCCCTTCAAATGAGACCACCCCGGGCGCTATAGCTTGACGTGTATTAAAAAATTCCTTGTTCCCATGGAAGCCCTATTTTATCCCTTGATTGTTCGAAATCTTTCCAACGATAAGGTTTAGAGCCCTGAAAGGTTTTTTTATATGTGCAACTATGAGCCGAACATTCCTAGAAAATTTCGTGAAATTCTCACACACTATAACGAAAATCAATTTTGGAGAGAGGAGGCGGCCTTAAAAAAATTCTAAAACAAAATTCAATTTTGATTTTCTCCTAAATACTCAGAATTTTTCTTCTGTCATTAAAGTTTTTATAGATTTTCTATTCCTGCGCATTTGATGGATGTGAGACTGTAGAAAAATTACATACACATCTTACATCGTTCTTTCCGAAGTCAAAAGAATTTATTTTTAGGTAGACTGAAAGATGATATTTCAAAGTGTATATATATTAATAAAAAAAAACAAAAAATGAATCATAGATAGAAAGAACTTACTATTTTATTCATTTTCATCAATTTCTTCAATATCTATGTCTTTCATATAAAGAAATAAACCTTTAAGACAAGCACTTAATTTATTAATCCAATGGTAATACCCAAAACGAGATGAAATTATTGTTAAAAGTATATAAACATAATCAGATAAAGATTTTTCTAGAATATGATTTAAATAAGATACAATATGATCTTCTTCAATTATATATCGAATTGTTTTTAATATAAATGTTCTTATTGCTGTACTATCTGATAGATTTTTGATAAATATTCAATTGTTTAATTAATAATTTTTGTTTATTTTGATTAAATAATAGTAAAATGTTATAAATAAGATTTGAATTTGATTCAATAATTTATATTAATAATGTTTAGAAATATATAATGCTAAAAATTATGCAAGAATATAGCATATATAAAAATTTTGATCTGAAACAAAAAAAAAAGTTGAATAATATGTGAAAAGAAATTATTATCAAATAATTGATAAAGATTATGTTCATAAATTAGAATAACTATTTATAATGATAAATGATAAATAATACTTAAAGAAATTAAAAATTTATGATGAAAAAGTTGATTAAGATAATT